CCAGGCCCCACAAGATCCCACTGGGGATCGCAGCCTCCTTCAGCACCACGCCTCCAGGTCTGCAGGGGCTTTCTAACGCTGGCAAACTGAAGAGCATAAATGCGATGTGCCGATGCCTGCGTGCGCCAGAGAGCTGGCACAGAGAAAGTGGCAGCCACAGTCTGCTCTAATTAAGGCAATATGCGACCCCATTCTCCCTCTGGAATGTGCTGAAGAAAAGGAGTGGCCAGCAGCCGTTCTGCAGCCTCGGGACAGAATTTCCCCACCCATGTCCTGGGTGAGGACCAGCACCACAAGAACGAGGAGTCTCCAGCCAATTATCTGAAACTCACCACGGCTAAGCCATTTGGCCTGCGAGCTGGGTTAACTCTTCCCAGAACCAAAACCAAGGTGAAGGGAAAGACAGGAGGTTCTCCCATCTGCTGGGACAGGCCCCGTGGTCATGCGCTCCGATGACTGAACTACCTCGGTGTGCTTGAGATAAAGTCGTGCTTATTATGAAGTTAGCTCTGAACAGCTACGACAGATCTCAGTGAAATGCATGAGTAACTCAAGCAATTGACAGTAACTACTGGCACCCAAACAGCGTTGGAAATGGGCAGTTTCTCCCAGTAAGCTCGTTTACTAATTAGAATGAATTATTTCATATAATGCCAAGTCTTCTTGGTTTTATAGGGCTGTCCCAAAAGTGAATGGCTACGCTGAAAGGTTCGATTTTTCTTTTTCCTTTTCCAGGGGACAATACAAATCCTTGCTCTAACGAAAACCTCCTCTTCCCATTTCACGACTGCGCTCATTGCTCTTCATACTCCACACTTCCACACAATTAGGAAGCGTGAATATTAGCATGTCTGCATCTGCATCTCCCAGCACAGGTGGCCCACGTGCCCACACCCCCTGAGCCCTCACCTCTGCCGTATGGCTCTCATGACCTGGTGTGCGCCCTCGCCCTGGTACAGCCACGTGTGCTGGCTGTTGCGCACCGCGTCACTCGTCTTCACTTTCTGGCTCCCTATGTACTTGTGGAAGTCACGGATGTTCAGCCTCTTGAACTCCTCCAAACTCAGCACGCCTGTGGAAGAGAGCAGGAGCAGGCTGACCTGGGCACCCCACGTGCACGAGGCGATAGAGAACCTTCAGTTGCAGCTCAAGGTCAGAACCAGAACAGGCAAAACACAATCAACTTGATACTTACATGTTTAAATGGAGCAGAGGGGGACACCTCAGGCCACCTTCCTACAAGACCTTGCAGGGCAATTTAAAAAAAACAAGCCCCAAACAACAAGCAGTACATTCTTCTGCTTTTGCTGCTTTTGTGCAATTTCAAAACATGAAAGAGATACACAACACAATACAATCCGATGTAAATAGAAGACAGAAAAACAAAAGGTAAAAGGTTTCTACTAGAACAGATATTTCTTGTTTGCACTCAGCTGAGCTTGGCAAGGGATGGATTTTTGCCTCTGTTAGCTTCAGAGAAATCCTTACCGTTTGTTGTGTTCCCTTTCTGGAGAAGCAGGGAAGCAGCACATGCCCAGCAGCCAGCACACACCAGGGACAGAGAGAGGAGCTCAGGGAGGCAGCAAACACACTGCTGTTTGCGGCCAGGGGGAAAGGCCCAGCCACCAGGGTCAGCCCAGGGCAGCTCCCCAGGTGCTGGTTGTTGTCAGCAAATCACCCACGTCACTATTTCTCATGCCCCGCTCACATCTCCCAGTCCCCACTTCCCCTTATTTGATAACACAGTGCCACATCCAGGTCGTGACCTGGTCCCTCAGCGGCACGCACCGATGTGACAATGGAGGAAAGCAGCACTCTGGAAGCAAGGTCCTGCCAAAAGCACTTTAACAGGACTTTTCATTCGTAAACATCCGGAACGGTGGAAAAGCCATTGGCAACTCAGTCATACGCTCCTACCCCTGCCAAAAATGTCACCAGCGTGGGTGCTTGGGGTGCCCTCCGGATAGTTAGGCATTCACATGGGTACTGTGCCTACTTCATCTCCAAAGCAGCTCCTCTATGGCACTCTCAATGCCAGGTCACTGGAAGAGAGCATGCACAGCCTGTGCATTCACTTAATTTGATTAGGAAATGGAGAGTTGCTTAATTGAGGACACTCTAATTAGAGCAGCAAAGGTTAGAGTGCACGTCCAGGCCAGAGGGAGACCAGGGTAAGGGGAGTAACACAGAGAACAGAGCAGTGGCAGAGATGGAATCAGCACTAAAAGCTGACCAAGACCACCCTGAGTCCACCGATGCTGCACCCCTCTGCCAGTGAAGCAGCTCTCTCAGACAGCTGTAAAAGTCCCTTTGAAAGCAGGGGGGAACACCTTAAGAGCTGCAGCCCACACAATGAGAGCTACATGGTCAGAGCCAGAGCAGCTTCTGAGAGGTCTACACCAATTTTACTTTCTGCTAAGTCTCTAAAGCAGTGTTATTTTCCTTGGAAGACCATCTAGTACAACAGGCCTGGGCAGGGACATGGCATTTGCTTCTCCCTGCATGGCTGTGTGCAGCGTCCCCTGCTGAGGACATGGGGATTCCTGAGGAGCTGCTCTTACCATTCCCATCAGGATCAGCCTTGACTGCAGCGTACATCTCTCGGATGTTTTCAGGGGTCATCCACCTGCCGTTCCCAAGGCGGGTGTGAGTCAGCACCTGAAATTCAGAAGCAGATTAACACTGGGCACTGGCTTCCAGTACTAATGCAACCCTCACAGTTTCCTGCTTGAGGCCTGGCCAGCTCTCCTCTGCAGTGCATCAGTCAGCCAGGCGTCAGCACATCTCTGCACACAGATTTGAATGGAGATCATCGGGCAGCCACGCTGTGTGGCTGATCTGCATTTTCATTTCCAGTTTAGGTGGTGGCAAATGACTGCTGAAGCTCAGTTAACCAATCCTTAGGTGGATGTGGTACAGCTCTCAGCAAGCTGTGAACTTCAGAAGCGACATCCTTCTACCTACTCCAATGCATGCTGCCTTGCAGGACAAGGCTGCTGAAGAGCTGTGGACAAGGTACTCCTTATTCCCCTCCCAGAATTGTTACTGTGGATGATTCTGAAGCCCCATCAGCTGCAGGAGGGCACAGCCAGCTCTGCTGCACAAACTCAGCATGCTGGGACACACACAAGAAGAAATGCACCCTACCTCTTTGAGCTGCAGCTGCCCATCCTGATTGTGGTCCAGCAGATTGAAGAAATCCATCTGGCTGATTTCTATCATTTCCATGGCTTCCTCGTAGTCATCCGTTGGTAGGATCTGGCTCTTCTGCAGCCCCTTCAGCTGTGCCAGATGGATGATGAGTTTGCACTCCTCCTCTGTCAGGAAGTCTGGAATTTCTGCAGGAAAATGCGAGCAGTAACAGAGTCTGAGGAACTGTTACATTAGGACAAATACTAACAGCAGGCCACTGAAAAGAGAGGAAAATAGGAAAATTTAGAAACTTCCTACCAAGCCAGGGGGGTAGGACAGTCAAATATATATATCTTTCTACCTGAAGAGCTCTACAACAGCACACATCTCACACCTGAGCTCCAGGAGATGGGTATTTTTACAGCAGCCATTCCTCAATGTTTGGATCCCGGGGTCAAGCCCCTTATTTTCTTGCAAATCACCACAATGGACAAAGGAGCGAACAAACACAGGCATATCACTGTGTTTTATCACTTCAAAGGTTACATGTGGATCACAGTCTAGAACTGCTGTTTTACAGGAAGGGAGGCCAGAAGTCCTTACAGGGGAAGCGAGGATGGCTAGGGTTTCATGCTCCTCTGCTCTGCAGCAGAGCAGGCAGCACCTCCCAAACAACCAAACTCCTTCTGGGGTACCTAGCACACTGCTCTACTGGGAAACTCAAACAACTTCCTGACTTATTCTCATTCATTCCCTTAAATGAAGGGGGAGGAAGTACAGCCATCGGAGCAGGACAGGCTTAAGTGAATATGGCTGTGATGGGCTGGATTAGGTGACTTTAAAAGTATTTTCCAATCTTAATGATTCTGTAAGTGCTTGCAGACACAAAGTCCTGCTCTCTAAACTGCAGCCCTGCAGGTGTGTGCTGAGGACACATCACATCCCAGCTGCAGCAGCAATCCTCAAAGGGGGAAAGAAAAAATAAAAGTTAATTACTTCCACGACCTTAAATCAACCCTATCAGCTCCGACTGTCAGTAAGCAGTTGGCCTCTTAAGTGCATACCAGAACTGGCCCTGTAGAAAATGCGATGCTCCTGGGAAGCCCCGGGGACACAATGCAGCTGTATCCCTCCGAGGACACAATTTCTGCCACCAGCAAAACAATGTCCTTGTAACAGAGGGGGCTTTGGGGCCAGAGCTTCCGCTGTCCCGAGCGTCACGGCCTCACATCAGGTCAGAGCCAACCATACCCACTGGCAAGCAACAGTCCCAGGATCTCCAGTTCCTCAAACTGGGCTCAAATAATGACAGCTTCTGGAATCTTAATTACATGCTGGAGGAAGGACAATCCCTCTCTTCAGTGGTGGTAATGGGATTTTGTAACGAGGTAGAAATTGCATTAGCAGGAAGCGCTTTCTGCCAGGCAGGTTGCAAGGTGAGGGGCTTTCCAGCTAAGAGCTGGCAATCCGCAGTGCAAACAGTCTTCCTTCCCAGCTGCAAATTGGTTCCTGTGCCCACTGCTCTCCCAAACAGTTAACTTTGGCTGTGAGACCATCCTATCTCTCATCCCGCTCAACAATGGGTCCAGCTAAACAAATGCCTTCTAATTGACTTTGAGCAACACTTGATTGCTTTCAGAAGAAAAAAAAAAACAACAAAAGAGAGGAAAACATTGGGATTTATGAAATAATGACTAATCCTGGAGCAAGAGAAAGGGGCTGGGTTGGAGCACTGGTGTCAAACAGAGAGCCCCAAGACACAGGGCCAAGGCATTCACTCCTCCCCAGCTGCCCTCATTTCCACACCTGCTGATCTAAGCCAAACCCCTGCTAAAATCCAAACAATCGGGGCCGCTGGCAAACGAAAATTGGAGCATTGTCTTCCCCAAGAGGGCTCTGAAAGGGCCGCACTTAATGAGGATGGATTGCCACGGAGGTGGCTCGCAGGCTATAAAAGGCGTTCTGCGGGCTGGAGCAGCTCAGTCTGGGTGTGCTGCGAGCCCACTCTGAGCACCATGAGGGCTGTGAGCACAGAGAAGGCGTCCCGCAGGCGGGGAGCCCCGTGGCTGCCAGGCCTGCTGCTGCGCCTGCTGCTGTGGGGCAGCCCGGGGGGGCGGGCCAGCTACCTGCGCAGGTCCTCCAGCTGCACCGCCATCCCACGCAGCATGGCCCTGTGCTACGACATCGGCTACTCGGAGATGAGGATCCCCAACCTGCTGGAGCACGAGACCATGCCGGAGGTGATCCAGCAGTCCTCCAGCTGGCTGCCCTTGCTGGCCAGGGAGTGCCATCCCGACGCCAGGATTTTCCTCTGCTCCCTCTTCGCGCCCATCTGCTTGGACAGGTAAGGCATTTGCATGAGTTCGTTCCGCATCGCTCCCCAGCAGCGATGGCATTCGCCTCCTGAGAGAAAAGACGTGCAATCTGATCACAGCCACTTTCAGGCAGCACAGTGAGGGGACATGGGATTACCCAGCAGGGACTCTTCCCCCTTCTGAGGGAGAACAGAACTCCCGTCCAATTTCCAGAACAGCCTTTTGTTGCTTGCTTCCCTGCTCCCCCCCCAGGCTCATCTACCCGTGCCGCAGCCTGTGCGAGGCTGTCAAGAGGAGCTGTGCACCCGTCATGGCTTGTTATGGCTACCCCTGGCCTGAAATCCTCAACTGCAACAAGTTTCCTGCAGACCACGAGCTGTGCATCGCTGCCGTCTCCACGGATGAAAGTTCCTCCAGCAGGAGAAGTAAGGGCTTTTTTTCTCATATGTTTTCCCATGTGTAATGCTGAATACTCACAGGGATGAGCCTATGCCTTGCCTGTGTTCATAGAATGGCTTGGGTTGGAAGGGACCTCAAGGATCATAAAGTTCCAGCCTAGCTCCTAGAGCTTCTGGCTTTAAGCTATATTTAAAAAGAAAAGTGGAAATTCTAGTTTTTCCTCCATGGGAACTGCACTGTAACTAGAAAAGGAGCGTGACATTGGCTGAAGCTTGTTCCCTCAGCTCTGCTCATCACTACCTGGGTGCCCTCAGACAGTGGTGCTTGGGGCAGGGGAGAAGTCTAAAAGACATGGGAGCTCACAGTGCGCCTGTCCAGGAGGTGAAAAGCAGCAGACATTCATTAAGCAACGTCACGGCAACGTGCAACAACGAACACAGCCTCCACAAAGCACAGCGAGCAGTGCCTGTCCCACCGTGAGACTGGGAGCTTAACATTCCTATCCTGGGGCTGGCTAGCTCAGGAGGAAGCACCATTTCAAAACTACAAGCCACCACTTGCAGATGTCAAAACCATATGATGCCTTTTCCAGCAACGGGTGTTCTAACCAGCTTTCTGTTGCAGCAGTGCCTCGAGCCAGTTGCAAGGACTGCGAGCTGGAAGAGGCCAGCACCACCAGGGAGATCCTGGACAGCCTCTGTGCCAACGATTTCAGTGAGTACACCCACCTGCCCTCCCTGCAGCCGGCATGGCCTCCAGCAGTGAAGCTGTGACACGCACAAGAATGGCTTGGCCATAAGAACTGACTTGGAGGAATCATGTCTTTTATAAGCAGGTTGCAGAGATGATCAGTTCTCAGCATACCTGTTAAGTAACAGGACTTGCTGCTTGTGGTATTGCTCCTTGGAGGCACTCTGCCCATGCCACAGTGCTGCTACGCCTTCTGCGCTCATGAGAAAAGCAGGGTGGAAAGAACAGTGCTCAGTGCTGGAAGCGCTCAGCTCAGCTGAGAACTTTTCCACAATCACTGCAATTGCACGGGTTTGGGAGGACGTGTCACCACGTTAGAGGAGCAGCACAAAAGCTATGATGTGTAAACAGAACTAACAGCTCTTTTTCCCCCACTCCAGCAGTGAAAATCCGAATCCTCAGGAAGAACACGACCACAACCGTCTCCGACTTCGACCTGGACCCCTCCAGGGTGGAGGTGCTGAAGCACGGCCCGCTCCTCAGAACTGAAATCCCAGGCAGGCTGCAGCAGTGGCTGGACATCGATGCTACCTGCGCCCACAACATCATGAGAGGCACTCACGCGGGGGTCTTTGTCATCAGCGGAGAAGTGCAGAGCGACAAAGTGGTGGTGAACAAGGCCTACGCTTGGCAGAAGAAGAACAGGAACCTGCACCAGGCCGTGCGGAGATGGAAACATCACCGCTGCCCCGAGCAGGCCGGCAGGAAGGTCTGAGATCTTGATCCTAATGCTAAGAAATGGCTCCCTTCCCCACAGCTAGAAAACTCCTTCCCCGGGCAGCTGGTGTTTTGGAGATGTACAGTCAGTATTTTTAGGTGAATCAAAGCAGTCATAGTCAGCAGGTAGGGCCTCACTACAGATCCCTGAGATAACTAAAACCCTTCTCCCGAGGCAGAGCTTAGAGATGCAGACTTAACATATTCCTACGGCAAGGTCCTGCCAATCCAGGACTTACAATGGATGGCTTTGTGCAGCATCAGTGCCTTGAAATCTGCAGGCGAGCAGACTAGAAGACACCTTTGATAACATGGGCATTTGCACAGGTGAAAGTAAACAACCCCTCCTGAGCACACAGCAGACAGCTGAGGATTTCTGCATAACTGGGAATGACCGCTTTTTGACTTCAGGCATTCAGTTTGGGTCAGAACGTTCTGGTAACCGTGGAGCTACTGAAGATACCCGCAGAGCCTTGAGAGAGGTGGCAACAACACTGGGAATCGCTCTCACCAGTGAATACAGCCACAGCTCAACATGAGCAGAAAGCAGAAAACTGCAAATCCCCGAGTGAGAAAATGAGTTGGATTTCTACTGTCTAACAAAGCACTGCCCATGGAAAGTTTTCTACACTGGATTAAACTTGAGAATGAAATAAAAATGACAGAAAAAATAAAAAAACCACACAGCTCTGGGGATAAATACGTTCTTCCCTGTGCTCAAAGCCTGCAGCCTCAGTTGTGGAGAGAACCGCCAGCTTTGATGGAGACACATTGCCTCCCTGTGCTCGTAAAGCACAGCAACAACCCAGCCAAGACTGTCTCTTCAGATTTAACATGGGCTGAGATTAGCACTCACGGCACTCGCACTGCAATTCAGCCGCGCTCTGACATTTGTGTAGCAATTACTTCTTTTTCCCTGAGGCTCAGAAGAAAAACAGAGAGATTTCCTATTTTTATTCCTCCCCGCTGCCTCGTCTCGCAAACTGCCGCCCGACCCGCAGGGCCTGCTGCCAGGTGGTCCCTGTGATGGCAGCATCCTCTGAACAGACTGCGTTTTGAAAACACAACAAGTAAAAGCTCTGAAGGTTGAAAAAGGCTTTGTCTGATATTTGTTTTCCATTAATGGGATTATTTGATTACTGGTGTTTCCCAACTAAGCAGCGCACAGATGGTCTGACTTACAAGCTTAGAAATGATGTCTCATAACCAGAGGGGGGGAGGGGATGGGGAAACAGGGCAGGGACTTTTTGAGAGCTCCATGAAATACGCTCGGGTTCAATGCAGATGACTTACCCACATTTAAAACAACAAACTGTGCGCTCCCTGTGGTGCCCAGCCCCAAAGCGCAGAGCTCCCATTAGGCCATCAGCCAGCTGCCCACAGCCCCACAACACCCTGCTTTGCTGAAAGCAAAGATCACAGCGCAGCCACTTCTCCCTACAGCGGCTCTCGTTCAGCAAAATCCCCTTCAGGACTTCAAGAGCTCTGCCAGCGACTTCTGGCTTTGTCTAACACCACCCCATTAAATACACACCTCTGCCAATTTAAACAACAGAGACGTAATAATTGGATTTTAAAACACTTAATTTAGGTCGGTGCTGTTTGCGTAGATAGAGAGGTCTCTGGAATTCTTTTTAAGTCACAGCTGGCTCCTGGCAGGTCTATCTGGGAGATAAGAGCTGTCTTACGAGTCAAGGTTTCTAAATTAGGGCTTCCCTATCAGAGGATAAAGGAGAGCAGTCTGGGTGGAATCTGAAATGCTGCCTGCCCAGGGCTGTCCCCAGAGCCAGCATCAGAAGGCACAGCCTGCCCCAGAAGCTGACAGAGGTGCCTGAGTCATATCAGGGGCTGTGGGATCACTGCTGCCTGTGGGTGCCCTCCTGGAGGCCAGCATCAGTCCAGCAGAGCAGCACTGGCGGGGCACAGAAGGTTGCAACTGGAGCAGGAAAACCACTGCCCAGCCTGTGTCATGGGTCTCACAACCAGTATGCGCTCCAGGACTGAGTTCAATGAATGTCTGATGGAGAACCTGCTAGAAATGAGCCATGAACACTGCATATGTAAAAATGACAAAACAGATCTGTATATTTCTTGCAGGTACTTACGGCATTAAAGGAATTTAGTAAGAAAATGCTCTGACCTGTGGCCAGGTTTTCAGTTTGTATAATCGATTCCGAATCAGAGAAAAGCTCAGGTACTGGCAAAGCATCTCAAGGCCCCCAGCATCACCAGCTCAGAGCCAACAGGTCTGCTCTGCCTTTGCAGTAATACGAGCTCCATCACCAAATTAACCGGTGCATTCCCAGCGGAATTCCGCAGAACGGGGTGCGGGGCTGCAGGGGCTGCAGGGGCTGCGCTCACCCTAGGGAGCGTCGCAACGATGCGGGGAAGGCTGCAAACCATCAAGAGGGAAACGCGGTGCGGCCGCGTTGCAGAGCAAAGCCAGAAGAGGGCACAAAGCCGGCGGGCACCGGGCACCGACGCCGCCTCGCTTTACCACCGCTTAACGCCCCGCGCTCCCGTCCCACCCTCGCGCCCCGCGGTCTCCCCGGGGTCCTCGGCCGCCCATCCCGCTCTCGGCACGCGGCAGGGACGCGGGCTCCGATCCGCGGGCACTCACCGAAGAGCGGCGGCTTGAGGCTGAGGGTGCGCACGGCGCGGGTCCGGCCGGGCCCCAGCTCCACCCGCTGCGTGTGGCCCACCTGCGGGGAGAGCGGCGGTGAGCCGGGGCCCGCCCCGCCCCGAGCCCCGCGCCCGGCCCCGCGGCCTTGCCTTGATGCCCTCGAGGCGCGGCAGGGCGCGGGCGGGCGGCGGCGGAGGCGGCGGAGAAGCGGCGGCGGGGGCGGGGGGGCCGCCGCCGGCGTCGCCGGCGCTGAGGTGGACGAAGAGCAGCAGCCCCAGCACGTTGAGGACGTAGAGGTGAGCGAAGACCATGAGCACGAGGAAGTATGGCCGCGAGCACACGGGCCGCGGGCGGCCCCCCGGCGGGCCGGGCAGCGGGGGACTCTCCGCCCGCGCCGCCGCCGCCGCCACCGCCGCAGCCGCCATCGCGCCCCGGCCCGCCAGGCCCCGCGCGTCACCACAGCAACCGCGCGGCGCGTTACGTCATCGCGGCGGGGGCGTGGCCGGCGCGCGCGCGGCGGGAAAGAGACACGTGCGGCGCGAGGGGGGGCGGCGCGTGTCCAAGGCCAAGGAAGAGCCGGGACGCGTCCGAAGTGAAAAAGTCACAATTTATTGCAAATAAACCGAGGGAGCGCGTCTGGCAACCGGCTCCCGGGCGGTTTCCGCCGCCCCCGCCGCCATCCGGTGCCCGCAAAGAGAAGAGAGGAGGAAAGAGATTCGCAGCCCTCCTGCGGCATGTGCGGCTACGCGGCAGCCTCCTCCGGCACTGTCCCGCGACCTCAACCGGACCGGGGCGAGGAAACGAACTCCCAGAACCAGTGCCTCATTTAAAAATAAAGTTCTATTTTTCACCTGCTTAAAAAGTCTAAAATGTAGAGTGCGAGGCTATAGTACAGAAACCTCCTGCTGCCCCCGACCCTACGCGAGGACAGAGCAGCAGTCATGCAGTTTATGTTGCCAGTAAAAAAGTTTCTGTTACAGTCTGGGAAGCCTGAGGACCATCAGAGGTGAGGCAGCCAAAGCATAACACGAGCAAAGCTGAAACGAAGAGCACCGGATGCACGGATGGAGAGATGGCAGGCGGGCAGGGGGAGACAAACACAGAAAGGAAAAGAGCAAACATTCCACATCTGTAGCAGTAATGCATCAAAGGGAATTTTATGCCTCTGAATGAATGGCTCCTGAGCCACTGAGCACCTATGGTCACATAACCCTGCTGACTCGAATAGGGCTGTGTACCCGTTAGAAGGGAAAAAGACTTAGCCTTGTCTATCGGTACTGCAACTCCTTCCTGCTGTTGCCTTTCAAGCAGCGCCACTTTACACAAAGAGCCAACACTCACTGTGCTCTGCAGGTTCTGTCCTGGAGTTTGTAACTCTGCATGACATCGATACAGCAGTCACCCTGCCTGGGCTGCAACAGCAACAAAGTGCTGTTGTTTTCCCAGAGAGCATGGAAATCGGATTTGTGTGTGCAAACCAGGACAACCACCACCCTAAGAAAGGGTGTGATTTGTTTGAAAGCAAACAGTACTGCTGGCTAAAGCTTCAGAAATTCTGAAAGAATTAAGGGGCACTCAGTGCAACATGTAGCACTGTTCCTCAGCCAACATCTCAGCAGTTTGTTCAGCACATTTGGCCACTGCTACATAGTCCAGTTTTTCTACAAACAAGGATTCATGGCAAAGCATTTTGTGGGGGCAATGGAGAGAGGCAAAGAGGAGGTGGAGAGAGACAAAATCCCATTCTAGTATAGCTCAAAGCCTGGCAATTATGTAAGAGAGTGAGAGCTCTTTGGGATTAGGAAACAACAAGTATCTGTTCTGCAGAGACTGGGCATTATGCTAGTTACATTTAAACAACAAGAACACCAGCTTTTATCCCAGATTATTACTTTGCAGGCTAAAATTTTCAAAGAACAGTTTAAATGTTAGCTCAACACACTGCAAACTGCTGGGTCTCAGCAAGCTCTCCCCTGAGCTACTTCTTGCTCTGTGTCCCAAACTTTGACAAGCATTTAGGAGGAGGAGAGAAAGGTACATTTGACCAATCTCTGGAATATATTCTGAGCAGGGCACCAAGATGCTGCTGCTGGGAGCAGAGGAGGGAATGAAGAATTCAGGAGGCAGTAGCTGGAGCAAGGACATACCTACCCTACGGCTTCAGCCCAGATGGGAGCCAAACAGCCCAGAGCAGAAACATAAGAGACCTTGTACAGGTGCTGCTTCTGTTCCTATCCCTGCTCCACTGCCAGCAGCTCTTTGGCGGCACGTTCCTGAGGAGACATCCGACAGCAGGGAGGGGAGATGGAAAGAGCAAGGCCTCTCAGATGGAAATTTTCCACCACGAGCAAGCATGGCCACAGGATTAGCTTTGGTGGCAGCTATTTTCTTAAACCAAGCATCTCTTGTTCAAATCCATCTGCCCAATTACACATGCTGCAAAAACCTGGCTCACACATCTCAGGTACATGAGAAAGGCTCCAACAGCAGTTAGCTTATTTGGATATGCACAAATTTAGTACTTTTTCCCCTTCAGTTTAACCTTTGTCAAGTGAAATTGTATAACAACAACACACAGGGATGCATCAAAGGTTACGCTTCCACATACAGCATGGAAGAGAACCCCACAAGTCCTCCACAGAAGTGATTTCCTCAAATCAGACACTCCAGCTTCACCTTCACTGGCTGTGTACAGCGTGCTCCTGGTGCAGGTGACATACATGCTTGTGAAATCTTAACACGTGGCCTGCTTCCTATAGCAAAGAGGCAAGCATCAGCATTTAATTAACCTTTTTCATGTTAACCTCTACTAAGATGAACTAGGCTTTCATAATTTTATTTTAGTGTATATTTTACATTAGAAAAAAGAATGTTAATAAAAAAGCTCCACATGCTCCTAGCAATCAATTTTCTGATAAGTTCCCACCAGTATTGATACTAATATACAAATAAATTAATTTTGCAAGTTAATTGTCTGCCTGGCTTGGTGCAGACTCTGCACAACCAGTGCATCTGTATTTTAGTGCCTGTCCAACACGTGCCAGGGAGTTGTACATAATATTTGCTCCTCATAAAGTAGCGGAGTTCAGTTTCATATCAATTAATGGGATCAAATTTTTCTCAACCATGTCACCCAGCAGGCACAAATATTCTTTACCAGATTGCATGGCACTGTTATGACATGGATTGTTTCACTCTGCAAAAGCCCCAAGCCTTGATAACATCTGTATGCTACTATTCCCTCATCACTCACTTTGGCAATACAACACCCTCCCCACAAAAACAAGTAAAGCAAAAAATCTATATGGAAGACCTAAAATTTATCAAATGCAGAATCTGACCTGGCTTAGCGATAACCTGCTCTCTCCCCTACAATTCCTCTGCTTGTTTTTGTTTGTGTAGCAAGATTTTGCACAGCTGATATTCAAGAAGAGACGTCACATGTAATCGGACTAAGTCACAGACACTGCTGGTACTGCCAGATCAGACACAGCAGCAGCCATTCTTAGCACCAGCCACTCTCCTCATGCAATGCCAATGCTACAATGTCCTGGCTAAAGGAGCATCAGGAAATCTACGTGAGTTATTTTGTAACCTCCTTCAGCGCCTAGGAGGATTTTTGGTTCAAAGGAAGGAAGGAGGAGAGAGGGAAAAACCCATTAAATTTACAAGCAGATTAAGGAAAAACACTCCACTGCCAATTTATTTTTAAAAAGGGTTGTGTGTTATTCTAAGGTTTGTCTGTATAATTGTACAACCGTTGAAAATTACATAAATTGTATTGATCTAATACTATTAACAGCCATTCAGAGAAAAACTCCCTTCCCTTCTGAAACCATTCAGCGCAGGAGGGAAATGTCCCAGGAAATACGCCAATCTGAGCTCTGGCCTCTAGCATGGCAGAAACAAACAGAAAGATAAGAGAACAAACTGGACTAAGATGTGATGTTTGCATGTGTCTGACTCGCAAGGGGAGGGGTGGCTCTGTCCTTGGCCGTGTTCTCCCAGAGGCAGTGCCTGCTTATCCCGGTGAAGCTGCCATCACTTCACTTGCTGCTCTCACCCCTGCACTTCGTCATTTTCGCCTGTTTTATGTGTCATGGAAGTCTTTCAGCAGGGTCCTCCGTCTCTGCTCTGCTATGTGCATCTGATTCTCTAAGTCCTGGTAGAACAGAAGGCAGAAATAGTTAGCGTGAGATCCCCAGAGATGAGTTAATTTTTTTGCTCAGGGATTCAAATAATCAGACAATCACCAACCTTCATACTTCACATATGCTCTGAATCACAAGACTGCAGACCTCATTCCTTTTAACATGGGCTCACTCTGCAGTTATCTGGCTCTTGCTTTATCTAAAAAGCTACACACTTCAGGAACCCATACTTAACCAGAGGTCTATTCTGGGCAGCTTCCTCCAAAGCTTTGTTGGTTCTGTTTCCAGCCCTGCTTCCTCTCCCAAGAAGCAGTGAGCGCTCCACTTCCACAACATCCACCAGCAAGAGGAAGAAAAGTGAGATTCTGGATCTAGTATGTCAGCACTCTCACTTAACCGCCTTAGCTCTCCCACAGAGGTGCTAAGCCTGATATTAACAAAATCTGGCCAGCAGGCTCAAGCAAGCTGAACACTCACCCCTCTGTCATAGCTGTCTGCTCGCTCCACCTTCCATGAGAGATTTTCAATTTCAGCCTCCAGCTGGGCCTGCTGGTATTCAAACTGCAAGCAGCAAAATTAGAGTTAGCATCAAGAAACTAGCTTAGTGGAACAGCTTCGTTCAACCTGCTACGCTTGAGGAGCAAACAAACGAGTTCTGCTGACAGCAGTGCAGGAAGAGCAGGTTTGTGCCTCCTCCCTATCCATCTTTAGCTACACATGCCTTGCAGGAGGTTCCTGGTGTGAATACTCCCCAATCTGCATCACTCAAAGTTAATCATATCAGTTCAGAAACACTCAAATCTGCTAGATATCTTAGATATCTGCTAACTCAGCTCACTTTGCCAATAAGCAGGTCAGGAAATGCTCTTGTGAGCAGCTCTGCAGGCACAATGGAGGGACTACTAACCACTGCTGGGAGCAGTAGCTTGTTCTACCAGCACAGTCAGACAGAAAATAAAATGTGGTCAAAGCCTGAAAGAATACACATGCTATGGGAAGAGATTGGAGAACAAGCTTTACTTGACTACTGAGTCAAAGAATCAACACATTCAATGAATTCAAGACTATTCTGGGACATATCCAGCCTGTAGAAAGTTCCAGCTTGCCAAGAACTTGCAGTGGGAATCAAAGGCAGAGCTACACACCGATTCCAGGCTGGAAAACCTATGCTCCAGCAGCAATTTGTGGGAAATACAGTCCACAGCCCTGTGATAGTCCCACCAAAGAACAACCTCACATTTTCCAGCTTCAAAATTTTTTGGATAAAGTGCTTATTAGTTAAAATGCAGTGTTGCCAAAGGAAAATACCAATTGAGCAGCAGATCAATTTGAAGCAAAGAAGAAAGGTGCAAAAGCACACAGTCTTGTCCTGCGCTTTCCTCAAACTCAGTACTTGTATTTCAGATGCACAAGCTCTGGAATTAAATGCGGATGCTTGGCTATTCATTCAGCCCAGCATGCTGCCAGCTAAACACCCCCAGACAAACAGTAAGTGAAAAAAGTGCAAAACACCTTACCAGTTTCTTCCTGGGACCAGACTCCATGTAGTAGGCATATGGATATGTGTACTGCAGAGTGTAACGACACTGTTGGGGTCCAGGGAAAAGAGAGAGAAAACAAGAAGAGTCTCAGATTCCAGGTGATTTTTGCCTAGTTCACAGCCTAGACTAGAGGTACAGTTTCACATACCCATAACCCCCAAGTTCCCTTCCTCTCACTATGCACTGTGAAATTAGCATTCATGCGCATGGATTCTCTTCTCTGCTAAACAAGCCACAGCTACCCACCTTTGCAAGTAGCTTTGCAGCATTTTGTAGGTATTGCCAGTCTATCCACGTTCCCAAGTTGTTCATAACTCTTTCCTGAATTTTCTCCTGGATTCGTTGGTATGTCTGTGCCTCCAGCTGCAAACTTTTATTGTGATTCTCCCACTGCAAAGGGTGGGGAGAAGGGAAAAGAAAAAATGGTATGAGACCAGAATACTTTGCTATAAAAGCATAAGCTCTAGCAAGCGGAAACTGAAGTGGGGCAGGAGTCCAGCAAGGCAAGACATGCTGTGGGAAAGAACAACAAGACAGCAGCTCCAATAGCAAGGAGTGGAAGCTGTATAGAACAGACTGACAGCAGGAAAGAGCAAGAGGCAAACCCAGCTCCTCAGAGTAGGAATGCTCTCTGCACAAAGACTATGTGTACAACAAGATAGATAGTAATGGTGATTCCTCTACTTAAACAATTTCTATAGAAAGGGCAAGAGTTGAAACTAACACTTAAATGCGGTTGCAGTGAACTCCAACATCCACATGCACACTGTGAACATGACCACGTCCCAAAGCCTGTTTGGTCTAGTGAGCCATGAATGAACTCGTTTATTTTAACACAGGAGTTGGCTCATAGAATGAAAAAGAATAAATTCATTTTAATGGGGAAACAAGTGCACTGACAGGCAGCAGCACTGTACCTCTATCACATTCTCCTGCAGAGATGCTGTTCTAGAAATACACTGTATGTCCAGGTGCTTTGAAACATCTGTGTGCATACAGATTATGTAATCACACTTTTTAAAAGTTGCACCCAGCACTCTGGGTCCTTTAGGAAAATTTTGCTATAGCCAAAGGAATTTGAACATAACAGTTTGTTTATTCTTTGTCTCAGTGAAAATATGCTGCAAGTAACAAAAGTTCTGCAGTCCTGAAAGGAAATGATTGGAGTAATATTAATCTACTGCAGGCACTCAGCCTGCAGGAAAACAGTATAGTGGCACACAGGTAATACCAATTTTCTCTAGCATGAGGAAACACAAGAGTATACACAAGTATAATTTGCTTTAGGGATGACACTACTGGTTTGAACAGGACCCACAGGGCAGGACACAGAGTAAGAAAGAACGGGGCCTGAAAATTCAGCACAGATTCTCTTTGGGCAGTTTCTTGCATGGAGATTGCTGGCAGTGACCTTTGCACCAGGCAGGGAGCATTAAAAAGCTACAGCAGCTCTGGCCAAAGAGATGTCTCCTACCCTCTCAAAATAGAACAAGTACTTCTTAAGGGCCTCCCTGGCCTGTGCTTGCTGACTCTGGTTTACAATATCAGGATTCTCTTTGTACCGACTGCATTCGTAGTACTCGCTGCCGTGAGTCTTCCAGTCTCCCAGACACATCCAGCAGAAGTCTGCAGAAAACAGTGAAATTCCACTATGATGCACAGAATAAAAAAAACATAAGGCTGAGAAAGAAAAGATTCAGGAGACATAGCTCATCTGTTCTCATTATTTCTGCTAAGCCAAGAAACATACATTTTGTATCATCTTGCAAAACAGAACACAACAGTGAGCCAAAAATACCAGCCTGTCTGGAAGATTTTCGTTGTACAGCCTCCTGTGCAACTACACAAAGTAAACCTTGAAGCGCTGTATTCTGTACATCAAGACCAATGCACAGAACTTGTGCTATGCACAGGCTGTCACTCCAGGTTAAAGAAGAGGCAGGCTGTTGTCTTATTTGTGAATTGCATCCACCCCATTCTGGCATACGGCACCATGAGAATCTCTGGTTGAATAAAATATGAACAATCAAATACAAGAGTGAATTAATTCATGCAAATAAAATCTGCCTTCAGCTCTCTCCAAGAGAAAACTACCTGCATGACTTCAGATATCAGTGGTCAATGACACTTGAAGTTAGGAGCCACTGAACTGGGAAGAAAGTGGAAGAAAGAGAACAATAGCAAAACCCACATAACAGTTTCCTGGTTTCAGAGCGAGGCTGTGAGTGTTTTGCTGGAAAGGAAAAAAGATGGAGATTAAGTTGCTAAAATAATAATCACTTTGTGTTGCTCATTTTAAGGGACTGAAATTGGCATTTCCAGAGTTCACCAGCCTTCTTGAATGCTAGTCACCATGGTACCTTGGCACTTGCTTGCTCACTCTTGTCACAGAGCTCCATCAAATCACATCCAGTGCTGCTGAGGACCCCAAAGCAAAGGAAATGAGAGAGGACAGCAGTCTTTAATCATCATCCAAATAAGGTTCTGATAATATAATATTTCCTAGCAGCACACTTAATATAGAGGGCCTGAACACAAACTATTTTGCTCCAAGGCAACAGGGATTATTTCTGCCATGAAAAGATCTACAAAAGAACAGGCTGTTGTTTTGGAGGAGCACACAATGGTCCACAGACATCTGGCTGCTCAATGCACAGAGGTGGACTAAGCAGTCCAATAGAGAATGTTATGCAGAACAATTCACAGCTCCTGCAGTTTCATCTGGGTTGGGTCTCATTATTTCCATCGGAGACCAGAAGGACCTAAGCTGATCTGAGAAGATAGCCAGTATCTTCAACTGATAATCAGTAGATTTACAGGGAAAGCATTTCATGTTCTCCTCTGGGATGTTTTCCACTCTTGGTATTACGGCAGAGACAGAGATTTTCCTATACAATGGATGTCAGGGAGAAGGAGTTAAACTAGCACTGAATCAGAAGCTAATCAAAATTACAGCCAGTGAGGGGGGAAAAAAGGCTATCACAAGTCTGTAATTTAGTGCCTTGTCCACATTTTATGAGGGGAAAAATATTGCAGTCAGCGTTCACAATTCATCTTCATTACACACAAAAAGAGAACATCTCTGAAACACAGTGCTGGGAAAACTGTTTCCAAATTCTACTTACCATGCTTGCATTTCGAGCATTGCTGAAAGAGAAGACAGGAGGCACTGGTTAGTGGAAAGTGGAAAAAAATTCTGCTTAGAGAAAGAAAGATCTGGTGTGTTCAGGGAACTGCTCACCATGTGATTGCAGCCTCCATTCTTTTCAATACAGATATTGCACTTCGGACACTGGGGAAACATAAGCATTTGTTAGACTCAACTTAGTCTCCAGCAGACCTTCTGAGAATGACAATGTTTGCATGACAATTCTAGCTGTGTTCTTTATTTTATTTTTGTATGCATGTATGAAAAGATCTAGAAAGGAGGCAGAAAGCCAGGGATTACACAGCAGCACCAGACTGCTTGCTCAAGAAAACAGGTTTGCTGCTGTTACACCTCGTAAAACTAAAAATCTCACCGTGTTACCAATTAGCAGTTGATGAGGCACAGAGACATAAATGAGATCACATTTGACAGTAGCTTCCACAGCTATTTAAACTACAAGATAACTAGCTCTGTATCCTGACACTATCAGATGACAACAAGCAGAGGAGAATCGGTAGGACCACAGTGAGAGCTGCACGCTTATTTGCTGCAGCAGGGGTTCTCTGATACTCTTGAGTGTTGAGTTCAGAGCATTGTTTTGATTGCACAAGTACAAAGAAAGAAGTGAGTTTTGTTGCTTCTTACAAATTTCAACAACAGGTAAAATGCATGCTGAATATAAAAGAGCCTTATATTTCCAAAGATGCATAGCAGAAAGACTGCCATCACATGCTAACACCTCTCTAAAGAAAAAATGGTATTTAGGATCTCTAGACGAAGTACTCACTTTCCTAGCACAACTGAAGCTGGTGCCTAATGAGCACTGTCACTATTATTACCGTTTATAATAAAAACAAATGCCAGTCAACTAAGAACTGACACAAAATCCTCCAAAAGACATTAAAAACCCCAGTCTGAAAACAGCTAATCTAAAAGAAATACATCTGTGACCTTTAAAGATATTTCCAAGATAGAGTACACAGTATGTAAGTTTCTCTTTCTCAGGTTTAAATCTACCAGAAGTACTTCAGAATACAATTTATCCATTTCATCCACCCCCTTTTGTTGTTATTGCCAAATCAGGACCTTATCTCCCTCACCTTCCCCCACACAGGCGTTGAGACTAGAGCACCACTAGAGTTCACTAACTGCATTTACTACACCCTCTCCCCCCATTTGAAATACACCTTCGCTGTGTATTCCAAGCAGTCACAATTCTGCCTTTTGCCCGTGGGAGGGCAGCACAGCTGGCTTCCAAAGACATTCACACAAGACCTGGAATAGGAACCAAGACCACCATCCTGTCCTTACTGCAGGAGGTCAGCTGGACCGTCTGCATTCCCAGTGCATTCGGTTTGTAGTAACACAGTCCCCAGAGAGCCGTGAGAATTTAGAGCCTGTGAAAATGCTACATATATGAAGAATTGTAGGATTCCCAGGTAGGACTAGAGGACGTGAAAAGACATGCCAGTACTTGTTCTTACATCTTTAGTGTGAGCACTGATGTAGTTGGCTGTTTCGGAGTCATCTGCACATTTGGTGAGCCATTTCCGGATGGTAGCACAGTCTGTGGGTGCGTGGTACATCTGCCGACACTTAAAGCTTAACAGGAGACAAAAAAAAGGCATGACATATCCATTTCCACAGAAATGACTCAAGAATTGAAGTATTCCTGATGACCAAAGTCTGGGAAGCAGAGCAAGGGGAAGGGATGCCAGTGTATTCACAGTGTATTAGCAGAATGTGAAAATAAAGGCTGAGGGCTGCATAGTGAGAGCTCTAATAAACCACCACTCTGATGTGCAGAAACCAGCATCAGGATGAATGAAGAGGTCTTCTCTGACATAAACGTGACCAAGGACGCTTCAAAGCCAACAGGGAACATTAATGTTCCTATTTAGTAAAAAAATTATTCTCACTCTAGCCTCAAAACACACCAGATACTCCGGTAATCAAATCCTTGTAAAAAGCCTAAAACCACCAGACCAGCAGATAACTTACAGATCTCTACATCCATTACCAGAATCTCTATCATTCACTCTGGCCTTACCCGAATTTGTAACCTAGCCAACAAAGGACAAAAGATTTTTAACTCCTTCATTACTCAAGATCAGTGTTGCCTGACTGTCATAACACCCAGCTCCCAAGGAGTTTTGGGAGCAAGGGGAAGGCTGACCACCTGCAGAAGTCAGACACTACGTGTCCAGTTACTCAAGTTAACTCAGGTTACAAACAACTTTAGCAAAGCATTTGAGATGCTTTCACACACTGAACCTACTGGCAAGCAAACGGAGTAGCTCTGAGGACAGCAATTTCCCCGTGATCTTTAACCTTTTCTGTTTCTTACCAGAAGACCTCATTGCAACGATTGCACTGCACTCGCCGGGCTTTTGGCTCCTGTACCTGTATGACCATAGGGCAATCTGCACCAGGACACAGCTGCAGCTGGTAATGGCTCTGTGAACACAACAATGTGGTAAAATCAGCAAAGGGTGCAGAAGAGCATTTATCTGTTCAAGTCTAATTACTCCTATCCATAAAAACACACAAGACAAGTGTGTTTTCTTACTGGAAAAGATATTGAAAACTGTTACCAGATCTTGCCTAACAGAGCAGCCGAACCTTTCCCACATTAGGAAAGGTGATGTTAGCCACTTGTCACAACAGGGAGTTCAAATGGAGGACTACAGACCAAGTAAGCACAGCAACACATGTGGCTGTGAGCACACGAAGCTACTGAACACTTTAACTCTATTTGAGCTCTTTCCCCGTGCTTATTTTATAACCTAAATTGTACTCAGCTGCTTTTTTGTGGTGGCTGTTTCCTTCTACATATTGAAGAGAGGTGACACTATTCTTTCATACTGTTCCCATTTCTTTGAGCTCTCAGTCACCAGAATACTTTCTACAAATTTAATCTTATATGTCTGCTTTAATTTCAATAAATCTCTAATGAAATGTTATTAAGCAAACCAATCCAGTTGGGCTTCACTGCAGTATGAGACTTATTTGCCAGAACCTAAAATATCTACATAAAAGTAAGGAGGAGACCAAAACTGAGATGGAAGCTTGAGATTCTCAGTTGAAACATTCTGAGAATTCTACTTCAGGAAAAGAGTCCAGCACCAGCCAACAAGTTCCTGGGTGACCTTAGAGAAGAATTTACTTTGGCAACCTGCTAGAGCATTTCGCCAGTGAGGCCGCCCTACAGAAGCGGCCACATCATGCTTATGAAGGACGACTGCACTGTAGTCACTGCATCTCTAATCAGAGATGCAAGACACTTCAAACAAGATTTCTGCAAGTCATTGGTGAATTGATCCAGGGTATTTTAACTGTGAAAAAGACAGTACCTCCACATAGTCCCTGAAGAGGTAGCGCCTGTATTTGTCTTTCAGCTCTTCACTAGGCAGCAATGGAAAAACAAAGTCTTCTGGTGTCCGAAGTAGGCAGTCCTGAGCCATGCAGGAGACCCCTGAGAAAAGAAGGCAACATTTCAGCACAGTGCAACGTGTACTAAATAGCAGAGACACAGAGATAGCATTCAACACAGTTTCCTAGGTGCCATCTGTTGTTGTAGCAAGAGGGACACAACTGTGAAACAGATCAATTGAATGCATCAGGGCCGTTGAAAAGCTGAAGCCCAACTGTCTTCACTGAAAGATGATAGGGCACAAATGTATTCAGGAGCAGTAAGTGTTTCAACCAGGATTCAACTGCATGTTACTGTCATATCAGCAAGAATAACAGGCCAGGAGAAGCCCAAACCAAGCCCAGCAACTACTGGCTTCTGCTCAACACAAACGGAACAGGTGTTTGTATCCACAAGAACTTCCAGGGCAACAAAACAACGCATCACAGAGATGCAATCTCAAAATACAGCAGATTTCTGACTTCTCATTTGCTCTTGAGATCAGAAGGGGGAGAAGAGCAGCAAATGGATCTGTAGAATTGCAGGTTTTGTTAGGCAGGAGTAGGGCTTTCCAGGCGGTATGCCAACACCAACGAGGGATTCGGGTAAAACAGCTTGTTAAAGAGAAATTTATCACAAATATCCATTCCATGCTCCATTTTCTCATTACTGAGAAACAATTCAGACCGCTGCCTGCAGAGCAACCAAGATGTCAAACACAGATCCACTGCCAAATCCGCCTTGAACTTACCAACTCCAACACCATCCTTGACAAGCACTGTACAATGCTGCTCCCAGCAGCTGCGACAGAACTGGTGCTGACAAGCCAGAGAAAGCAAGTTCTCCTTCCGGACAAACTGCATGCACACAGCGCAGTGATGGGAGGAATGTACCATTGCCTGGGAGAGACAAACCAGCATCACAGTGAAATCAACTGCAGCTCTGAGTATCTCACCTCATCCACAGATACCTGCAGCACTTTCCTTGTGACAGCAGTCTCGGATGAGCTCCAAGCCAGAACAGGCTCCTAAGTGACCGGCGTGCTGCCCTGCCCCCACTATCAGCCCTTCTCATGAACCTCATCAAGCTCACGGAGCACAGCGGATGAACAGCCGCTGAATAGCTCCTGTCTTTCATCTAGTGCTACCCAAAGTTCACCTTTGTTTTTCTAGCTCTATCATCTTCTTTGTTTGAAAAATGAGTAAATACATCACTGTGTACGTCCTTTTTGTTCAGTTCTTCCCTGAATTTACTGGGATTTGTTGTTAGCTGGGTTGGACTCAATAGCTGTTCCACAGGCCTGGGAGAGCAGCTCTAGCTGGAAGCAGGCTTAGCAGTGTCTTTTTACTTGATTGTAATTTTGGGTATCATATTGGACACACAAACGAAGGTATTGCATGCCAAATGGTTATAAAGAGAAAAGACTGTTTATGGACCATCAGAAAGTTCAGGGACTTTCTTGCATCACTTCTGCCTATACTACATTTGGCAGAATAGCTTCATCTCTTAAGCTGTGAGGGTTTGCTTCAAGTCAGACACAATTCTGGTACTCTTTCACTGGGAAGCTGTCTGGTCTCCCTGTGGGTAGTGCAGAACTAACCCCCAGAAAACAGATAGAGCCTCTCACACATTTTGGTTCACCCTTGGGACCTGAAAGACCGTCTAGCACAGCATTACCAAAAGTGAGGTTCTACAATGCTGTTAGCAGGAGCTTGGGCTCCTATTTCCCCTTTCACAGAGAAGTCACCTAATCACTTTTCATCTACTTAAACGTGTGTTACTCTTTGAGAAGCTAGTGAGACAGCAGTGAGCTTCCATGAGTAGCTCTCTGTGCCAGGGATGCAGCAGCATCAGCACCCACCCAGCCACATGACCAGTAGAGCTTGTTTTGTAGCATGACCACATGAAAAAGAAATAGAGCGACTTTGTTCTAAGCAGACCAAAACAAGATTCATTAAGTTGGCAATCGTGTTGATGGCCAGATCAACTGCTCAACTTGAATAGCAAGCACACTACCTCAAAACTTTGGAAGCTGTCTCTCTGAGCTTACCATGATAGTTTCTCTCTACAAGGCCAGACGCTCTATAGTATGAGCATACACAAAGAACTCCCCAGAAATATCAGTATTTTGCATTAGGAGCTGAACCACAGAGCAACTTGCCATAGCACATACAAATAGATCACTGTGTACTGCATATCAAACCAAGTTTGCCAAACTTAAATTAACCTCTGAACTGTAACTTCATTCCTCCAAAAATGAAATCACCATTGCAATGAAGGGTACTTAAATGACAAATTATTCAGACAAATCTCAAAATACACGTACTCCTTTTAGGTATGTCAAATAACAAAGATTTTTTTCTGGACTCTAGACAGATAATTTGAGTCCACGAAGCTTACTGCTGCCAGCTGCATTAGTGTTTGACTCTATGTCAGCTACAAGTCAGCTCAGATGCCAAAGCAGGCTTTCAGGTCCTTAAAAATCCCTCTTTCCCACAGCCTAAACTGCGTTTCTCAGATGTAACATTTTATCACTCAAAATGCAACACATTGCAATGTGTTCCTGGAGTACTGGACCACACTCTGGGAACGACTTCTGTAAACAAGTAACAGAGCATTTCTATTTAAAGGAGAAAAAAAAGTATCCAAGGACCCCACAGCCCCAGCTGCAAAAGGCAAGCATTTGTTTCAAGTATTGCTACGGCTGGCCCAAGCCAGAACACCACTGGGAGATTGGCTTAAGCATTGCTAGGCAGAGCAGCACCCTTTAAAAAGTCAACCCCGAGCAGATTTAGGGTGTAGGACCTTGAGTTTGCAAAGAGTGAACATGGGACAGGCCCATCAGTAATGCAGGCCTCCAATGAGGTGGGTCAGAGGTTTCTCTGCCAAGGGGAACAGACCCAAACAGTGAGCATACTTACATGTTTGGATGAGGTGGGCTGAACTCGTGCTTCTACTAGCAATTGGGCAGCATTTGACTTGTGCCTGAAAAGACAATTAAACAAATGATCAAATCCACTTCTGAATATATTTTGCATTGTTCCATCACCATGATAACATGCTCTGCTGAGGCTCCTGCCTGTCTCCTATTCCTCTGCAAAATCAAGCTATCCTGTGTAGGTCTTGCTTTGGCTCCAGTCTGCTATATAGCTAAATATTTACTTTATGACAGATTATCACCTTTTAGGTATATGAAGCTGTCTGTCAGCAGCCTTAGAGGTAAACACATCTTGCTGTTAGTGATTGCTATCATAGAGCAATCTCCAGTAAAAAAAAACCACCAGTGAATTCAAGGATACAAAACTGCACTGGGGGTATGATCAGGCTGTAATTTGATAATGCTGCTTCATACCAAGACAGAAGTTTGAGGACCAGATCAACAGGAGAACAACTTGCAAAGTCACTGTTGCAGAATTAAGCCCTTCCCTGTGCTTTCTCCTGACTAAATCCTGTTAGTCAACCTGCACAATCACCCTGACTGCTGTGCAGGAATCTCACCCTCCACACTCCCCAGAGAAAAGCTCTCACAGGATGCACAGCAACAGACAAGTCAGTTACCAGAGATGCTGCAACAGTACCCATACATGAGGTGCATTTCCCATATGTTCTCTGTATGAAGTTGGTGGCTAATGGGGCCAAAAATGGCACAGCAGAATGAGTCAGCCTGATGTGCTCTCTATTTTCAGACAATGCTCAGCTCTGAGCCAGTACTTTCAGGAGGGGCTGCCAGACAGCAGTGCCTCCTGACACACTTCCCATGTATATCTGGGCAGAGTCTGAACTCTCCTTTTGAAATCAGCTGGAGGACTTCACTGCAGTGTGATGCTGCCCAAGCAACAGAGGGGCTGCACTCAGCAGTTCTCTCACAGCATCTGCTCTTGCTCTCCAAACGCTATTCAGCTTGGAAAAAAACATCACTTATGTTCAGAAGGAACAAAAACCTCAAAGCAAATGTATTAATAAATTGTACATTCAGCGCTGCTTTATGATTTACAGATCATATGTTCAAAACAGACCATATGTTATCTCTATGCATTATAAATAAATATAGCAGCACTCTCGGTCCTGTTGTTTAAGCTCAGCATATCAGCGCAGTTTCCAGCATGTCAATAATTCCTTGGACTGAAAGACATTTGCTGACACTGCCATCTCCTTATTCACAAATTCTTTGCAGGCAGCACAGCCTCAGCAAACAGCATTCCTCCTCTGCTCCCTGACATGCCGTGCATCCTGCTTTCAGGTTCAAAGGCACTTGTCAAAATACACTACAGGACACCCTAAGCATTCTTGCAGAGAGAGGGAAAAGCATGAAGCACAGAATAAATAAGGTTACTTACCTTTCCAAAATCTCTGAGATTTGCCAGTGGAAACTAACTAACACAAGCTTTGCAACAGCATGCGATACCTAGGAGAAAAAAACAAAAAGTGAAGCATATTTTGAGGACAAACTTTTGCTTAAGGCCACAATTTTCTTGTAAGACTAATAAATTGTGCAGACAGCAAAACAGTAATACTCAATTCCCATTAAATTACTAGACATAATTTTTACAGCCAGTGTGTCTGTGGTGTACAAGTTGGAATGAAGCACAGATGTACCTAAAGTAACTCACACACTTAGCCACAGCAGCACCAGAAGAAAGGAAACAAGGAAAGGCAGGATGAACTGAACAGCTGCCCTGGTTGCAGCCACCCCTCGCTAGGACCAGGCCAGCTGGGCTCAGGTTCTCGCTCCGCACAGCGCAGCTGACACCGCTCACAGGGCTGGGGAAGCAGCAGCAAGCTGCAAGCACGCATGTGCTGTGATAGCGATGGGTAGGGGAAAAAGTTCTCTCTCTCTCCACAGTCTTTCCCAGCTGCAGGAAGAGATTATTTTAATTTTCATTTTTGACAAGCTGTCAGTCCCAATCACCAGCTGAGAAGCCATAAGCCATCTCGAATCCCACTTCAGGTGAATCATGGAATCTGACACGTTGGTAACACAGCCACAAATGATCCTGCACAGCCCCGGAAGGAAGACACTCCTATAAAACAGGCTCTGCTCACTACTGCAACATATCCATTACCCTTTTAAAAGCAGCCCTTCGAAGAGATGCAGCACAACACAACTGACCTATTGCTGCCATCAGATATGGCCCCGACCCTGCACTGCCATCTGTCAATGTCAGAAGGTTGGAGGGGGAGCGTCCTGAGGAGGCAGCTGGGTGCTGCTGTGAGGAGAGTGGGGCAGCTAGGCACCTTTCTGCAGCCAGCAGGCTAGCTCTGCTCAATGGAAAGCATCAGCAACATGGTCTCTACAAGACAGGCTTCCTGCAAATGCAAACCACATGCTAAGAATCACTCCCTAATAGTAACTAAATTATTTCCCAGTAGCAGTAAGAAAACCACCCTGACAAAAGCAAACAAACAAACAAGAGCACCAGACTTAAATGGGAAGTTCATCTGTAACACATGAAAATGAGTTCTTCAGTTGCATTTTCACAGCCTGAGGTGCATCATCACAGCTCCATGAACAAGGGGCAGAGCTGTCTGTTCCCAGAAGACGTGGTAATTAACAAGTTCTTCTGAGAATGAGAAATTATAAATACAGACACTAGCATTCACTCCTTACATCTAACAAACTAGCCTAACAGTGAAATGGTTTTGAATCAAATTGCTTAGCAAGACACAGAATTAATGTTCTAGAAGGATGCCAGGTTAACAGATCCAGAGGCAGTCTATCTCTGAAGAAACCTGAAATCAAGAGCAAGGATTCTGCAAAGCTATTTCTTTTTGTTCTAGAACATGTTTCAGAGAAATCCTATCACAAAGAAATTCCCTTTTGGCCCTGCCTGTGAACCCAACTCCTCCCAGCAGCCAAAGTCCACTCCCCAGCCATGCATCCATTTGTTCATGGTAGCAGACAAAGAATAAAGCTCCTGTGACCATTCCGAATTTGCACTGCCTACAAGCCCTGATGGGACCAGCTGTAATGCTCATTTTATTGCTTGTGTCATAAAAGCACTCAAGAGTAAAAGTCATGTTTGTGATGTGAGTCCAGTTTCACAAAAGCCCCAACACACAGGATTTTGGTACTTTCCCTCTGAAGCACACAATGTCTTGCAAACAGTAAGTCCCAGAGCCAGTCTGTTCGGCATGGAAGGATTTGTTCTTACACACTACAGAGGGAACAGGAACAGGTAACATAAGAGGCTGGGCTCTGCCTGTTGATTACAGCAGGTGGAGTCTCACCACAAGACAGCCCACGTCCTGCTCACCAACAAGGCTGGTAATTCAGGCTGCAGATGTGGAAACCACTGGGGGCCAATACTACTGGAGATACTGAAGAAAACAAGCATAAGACAAGTAGGTTTTCAACAGCAAAGCATTTTCTGGACACTCAGAAATTTTATACAATGAAAGACCTCAAACTTATGAAATATTTCAGAAAGAGCTGTGATCCCCTATTAGCAGCTGGGTGGCACAAGAGTTTTACATTATCCAAGAACAGTAATGCCTCATCTCAGGCACAAAACAAACTGAAAAAGTTATCTTTGAAAAACTCCACTTTGTTTACACTTCTCTCTTTTCAGAAGACACAAAGAAGCTGTGGGATGGCCCACTCAATGTGCTGCTGGCAGCAGGCCATCACAGAAAAGCACTTCTGTGGACCACGGTGTAGAAAGCAATGCATTCGAGATGCTGCACTTCTATTTTAGTCGGTGATAGCAAAACTGTGCCAACACTTCTACTTAAGTACTCTAGAACATTTTGAAATCAGACAACAATAATCATGCTGCTGTTATTTAGAATCATGTAATCATATAATCTTTTACATTTGCAAAGATCTTCAGGATCACCAAGCCCCATCACTGCCCCACACCCCCTAGTGCCACATCCACACAACTATCAAGCACCTCCTGCCATGAGGACTCCACCACATCCCCAGGCAGCACGTCCCAATGCTTGACCACAATCTCCACAAAGAGAAATTATCCTCCCATCATTCAGCATTCCCCCATTTTCTCACTATTACAGATAGCAAGCTGATCACAGATCAGCTCAGACAAAAGCTGAACTTGGAGAAAATTCAAGACCAGGCTTCTTTCTCTGCATCCAGGGTGGGCAGAAATTTGAAACTGAGACTGGCTGGGACCAGTTTCACTTTCCAAGAGGAACACAGTCATTTCACAAGCCTCTTGCATCAGCTTAACTCTGTCATCCTAGTGACAGAGGATTGCAGGTTGTCAGAAATGGGCCAAACGTGACCAATGCTCATGTTTAGTGCTGCAATGGAAAAGCAGCACAGTGTTAATAATGATAGCAAGAGTGCCAAGAGGAAACCGCTCTGCCTTAAGAGGAAATCTTCCAGAGTTATAAAAGAAGAATTTGCCTTGTGCTGGATAAAATTAGATTCTGAAGGTAGGACAAAGAAGAAACATCATCACATTAAACACGTCCATTTGTTTTTTTTGAAGTAGAGAATAGTGATTTGTCTGTCTCAAGGATAACCTCCTGGGGTCTCACTCTCCAAGATAAGCAAAATTCACACTTCAGAAGTATGAGAAACAGCACAGCACTCTTGGACAAGACAACATCAAAAGGATTTGCAAAGGAGCTCTGCAGGTACCTTGCTGGGACTGGAAAGCACAAAGACAACTACGCCTCAGCTTGCTTCCCTGATAAGCTATGTTATTTGAAGAGCTGAAGTTTCATCTCTCTACAGAAGAAAAGCTTTTCAAACACGCCACTTTGACAGTCACTCATTCAGACAGAAATGTTTCCTAAACGCTAAAAAAAACACCATCTTTTGTAGAGCTTATATTCTGCAGAAATCGCTCATGCATATTGATGTAGCATGCATATCTTAGGAGCTCATTTCAATTTTCTCTAAGGAACGGCCCGTTTTTTTTAATTTTTTTTTTTTTTTGGAGGTCTGTTTCAATCCACACTTCTGCAGAGATCTGGTATCAGGAACTTTAAAACAAAAAAAATCCTCACATGATTCTCATAGAGTCGTGTCAGAACGAGTTGGTGTACGAAGAGCTGCTGGAGCTGACACCCCCTGGCTTTGCATCAAGCTGACAGTTCATGTTAAACCAGGGCTGCACTGAAATGCCTGGCCATGACGAACACTACCTTGGCATAAAGAAATTTCTATTTCTCATGTTTCCCCTTGCCAAAGGTTTTTATACAAATACAGCTAAGCAAATAGGATTAATCTCGAGAGGCTTTTCTTCTAATCCAGAAATAGTTTTCCGTTAGGTCTACAAGAAAAGGAAGAAATTATGAAAATATTGGTTTGTGTGTCAGAACTTCTAAAAGCACACCCGAGTCCACAGAAAAGCGAGAACAGAGCAAGAGCTTCTGAAATTGTTGCTTTTGGTGAGCAGTGATGGGAAAAATAGAGGAAACTCAACTGAGCAGACAGGGAGGAGAACAGTAACACCTCAGAAAGAAACTGTACTTTGAATGGAATATTGTGGAGGAAAAAAAATACCTTCACACTTAATGATACTGAAGCAAAAAAAGTGACCCACAAAATGGAAAAAGTACTATTTGATACTCATTCCTTGTGTGGAAAGGAGATCTGACTCCCTTCATGCTGAGCTGGAAAAAACTGTTTTTATTGGAGGATCTCTCAGAAAATTGCAGAACTATTAGGAATCAAGAAGAAACAAAAAGGGCCAACCAAAGAGCTTTCTTTTAGAGCACATTTTCATCCTTGCTTTATCTAATGCTCTTTTAAGCAGGCTTCCAACACGCAATCCTGGTAGGAAAGTCCCACGGCTGCAGGGCTTGGGCTGCCACAGCCACCAGCTGCTGTAAGCACTCGTCGTGTTCAAAGGCTTGTAGCAAAGTCCCTTCTAACCGTCACAGGTTTCTGGCATTAGAAGCTGCTTTCAAAACAGAACTCGAATTAGTACACAGGAAAAAAGACAAAGTCACAACAAAACAATCGTATACCCTGCCCAAAGATTTGTGTGTTCAGTCATGGTCAAAAAACAAGAGAAAAAGTCATTTCTCTTTAAATGTCACTCACAGCATTGCTTAGAATTTGTCTGACACTTCAGTCCCTCTGCTGACTGCTGATGGCAGGCTGCACTGGTGGAAGAGATGCAATTTGGAGATCCTGGCAGCACGGTACCACAGGGAGGCCGTGATGCACAGCAACACACCAGCCCTGCTTACTGCAGGCCTGAGTCTGCACCATCACTCACCCTCAGGCATACAGAGGCATTGTGCTGTGACCACTGGAGTCACGTTTAGGAGGCAGAGAGCAGTTTTGGAAAAGAGAAATACCACCAGTGTTACTGCATAAGGTTCATGACGCTGTCGGTGCACGACGTACTGAAGAGAGGAGATCTCAGGTTAAACTCCAAGTCCTGCTCCACAGTAACACATGGCTCTAATCCATCTGTTCTCCTA